TTATGTCTATTCCTTAATTCGAAATTTTTGAATCAGTGTAATTTGTAAGTGTAAAAAAAGACAAATTTCATTTTTACCTTTTATTTTTCATATTTGTTACAATATAATATATTGGTGAAAATGCTCTCTCATTGAATAATTGTTGGGGTTGTAGGAGGCCGTTATATTTCATATATTTTTAAGAATCTTCCAATAGATACTATTATATATTGCTCTTGATTACATTATTAAAATCTGGGAAATTATTTTTGAATCAAATTTATATTTGATCCTTTACCATATACAAATTTTCAAACAGAAATATATTTCAATTAATATTCTATATGCAAATTTAATATCTGCTTCTTAATTCACGTGAAGGAATAAATAAAAATTTCGTGCGCTCAATCATTTCAAGAAAATTCCATATATGAATTTGATTATATATATTTTGCTTTTATCACTTTTTTATATTGCTGAAAATGTCCGAAATATTTTCTCAATTAAAATTCATTTTTTGTTCTTTATAGCCAATTCTGAATATATATCGCCATGTCAATTTGAGAAGAGTGAAGATGCATTTTTATTATATAGAGAATCCGCGAAATATTCAATTTCGCCTAATCAATTCAGATCTTCAGAAAATATTTGGACAGAAAATGTTCCTCATTTGTTCATTTGCTAGATCATTCAACCATCTGGGTCGGTTTCAACCTTCTCACACCATCCATATTTCCAATTTATATATTCAAATATCAAATGGGAAGGGCATTTCCCTGAGAATTGGCATGGCGCCATTGCACTGGTTCAACTGTACCATCTGGTACCATCTCATTGATCCCCAGGTACTGCTCGAGCGAAAGGGGCCTCCCCCCTCCCCTGGCAGGCTCCCACCCACGCCTGCCAGAGTAGAACCCTGGATCACCAGAATTGAGGTACTCTACCTCAAACACCAGAATTTACTGGTACAGAAGCGTTCTCCCATCTTAACAGTACCAGCTGTTATTGGACAATGGGATTAAAAATTATCGATGCACATTTGTATCATCTGCATTCTATCAATATTTGATGCTATTCATTTTTGGTACAAGCATACGCCATTCTTCAAATGCAAATTCCATATCAGAATACGGCTTCAATACCGCCAGCAATGCATAGCATTTCGAACCATCTGGTACACCTCTGAACATCAAGCTGGTAATGCTAGGACTGGTGAGCTCCCTGAAATTCTGAAATGAGGTCAACAACCTCAAACCCTAGATCAGATTTTCTCGGTTCAAAAAACCAAGAAAATCTGGGTTGTTCTCCCTGCCCAAACAGTACCAGAGATTGATTGGGCAAAGAATCAAATATATTTAATAATGCCAATAATACTTTATATTTCTTTTAACCAATAATTGGGCATATATATAAACGCCTTTTTGAATTTTGAAACTTAAAAAAGAAAATGTTATATATGTTAAAATAAAAAGTAAAAATAAAAAAATCGAAGAAGATCTTGGAGGGACCAGCCGTAGTCAAAGCCTGGACAACAGAACACAAAGATTAATCATATAACAAAAGGCACAAAATAAATTATACGAAGTAATAAAAATGTTGATCTATAATACCTTGAGAATAATATTATAGTGTTTAAAACCAAAAATATAGTACAATATTTCTCTCTAAAATTATTTTTCGTATAATAATCCTTATATATGATCATATATATATAAATTCTCAATTAAGAAACACACATAAGAGGTTATTGATATACAACACAGGAAGTAAAATATTTTCACCAAATAAAGAAAGAGATATATAGTATTCGCCAAAATGAAATAAATTGAATACTTGCATTTGCGGTCCTCTCGCAGTAACAGATGGAACAATTTGTTTTCCAATCTGCGCTGGTTGGCGACACAATGCGATCTGCAAAAAAATATATGAACATTTAATTTACAAAAAAAAGGTATATCATTAGTTTTTAACAGATTTAAATATATATATACCTTAAATTATGAGAGCATACATTGTATCTAGACTAAGCATTCAATAGATAAATTTATAAAAGTGGCTTTCTGGTCGTTTTCAAAGATGTTTCGAATCTAATCATGAATTCATAAAGACGATCATGACGCTTTTAGAAAAATCACAAAATATTCTTCTTCTAAGGTTTAATATTAGCTTCATGTGAATTAATAGTAATAAAGATTTAAATCATATTATATAAGAAACTTTACTTCATAACGTATTTTGGATGGAACTAATCTGTGAGGATATATAAAGGATTCAAAAATAGCAAGAAGTTAAGCCTCATCAAATCATGTTGTCTGACGCAATATCTTTCCTATTTACATAAAGGTAGTTAAATAGATCCGGTAATTCTTGCGACTTGAGATTACTGGATTATCGAATTTCTGTGTAGTGTTTTCCATTTATTTGTTGCCTCAAAATCATAAGAAAACACAGAATATAAGCCTTTATTTAGACAATACAACCCAAAATCTATGCACACATATCCTATAGATATCCTTTTTATATTTACATAACCGTTTTTCTATAATGCAGAATATACATGTTTGCATATTTACGGAATATATTTTGTTAAAAAAAAAAGAACAAATCAGCATATATTACTCTGTGAAAACTCTCGATTCAATGATTAGTGAATAGAACTCTCCGACGCCGTCACTACGCCAGCTGTACCATTGCTGGACTCTGGATTATTCTCAGCCAACATTTTGTATGTCCTTGCCCCTGACTCCTGTTTTAAATCAAATAGATTGATCAACACTATAAAATTTATTATATCAACCTACACGTAAGTTTTATCTCTATAAAAATATTGTTTAAAATTATACTGAACGTATTTAATATACGGGGACAAACATAGATAAGCGCAATATAGAGTTTTAAATTTTGATATAAAATCAACATACCGATAGATCTGCCATTAAAAGTTCGGCAATCTTTGGCATTGAAGAAACGTCAGTTAAAAATTAGTGCTGCATGATTTCTTCATTTCATTCGTTCGTAGAACAAGATGTAAGCGTTCTTAGTGATGACTTTATTCGAATTGGTGTTCTTCACTCTGTGGTCGTCGAAGGTGAACCATTCGCCAGAGGTTGGATGTTTGCAGACTGATGTAAAATGGCCAGTATGTGGGGTTCCGTAGTGGTTGACAATGGCGTACAGTTTGTACTTTGTGTCTGATCCAAATTGCGCCAGATCCAGGATAGGCGGGATGTCTACCATTGTATTGTTTTTGCCTCCTCCGAAATTGGGGAATCGAATCAATTGGGCAATCAGAATGTTGGGCCAATTAATTACGTTGACTGTTCTTACAGATCCTTTTTTGCTGCAATCAGAGCAAATATAGTCATTGATGACATCTTTTACAAAGAGTTGGTCAAAGCAGTCCAGCAAAGAAATGTCTTTCTTTTCGGGGATTGGTAGGGAAAGATGCCAGAAAGCCTCAAAATTCTTCGAGATTCTTGGGCAAAATTGACAGTGGGTGGCATAGACTGTTTGTCCAGCAAACATATGGACTATAGGGCTATTTTCGTTTGCTCGATAATTTTGCCAGAATTTGTCGCCCTCATCAATGGTATCGGCATTAGGGTCAGTTTCAGAAATCTGATGGAGATCATTGTGGAGGTGTTCAAGTAGAAATTGCAAAAATTCCATTGAATCTTGTTCTAAGTAGTCTCCGAATTTTCCCTCGAACATTCCAACTTGTTTGTGTAATTCAATGGGCCTGAAAGAGCTCTCTTCTTTCCAGAGAGCGTCCAGAAGATTAGCAAACCTCTTAATTATTTGGCCCCCACTGATACTATCTGGGTTGACGTTTTCAGGTTTGAAATTCCAGAGGCAATTCTCCAGAACAGCTTTGGTATGGGCCAAGGATTGGACTATTGCGTTGCTGTAACAGGTGTTTCCGAGGTTGTATAACCCTACAGCATGGGGTTTCAAACTTGGTGCCTCTGTAACATATACTCAGTATATAAGGATATGATCATTTTGATCAGCAGAGATAATAATATGTATATTGAATAAACTTTATCTCAGATTTAGAATATTTGCAGTACTTATATCTTCCGAAATATAGAATTATTAATTTATTGAAATATAATTTAAGAAATTTAATATTATTCATCTGTGGTTTTTGCAACTTGGACTCAATGTTATGAGGTATTTACGAGCGGTACATCTGTAATTCATTAATCTCACAATTTATCTTCGCTCATTGATTAATTTTTGATTGCAATCAAATACATTTAAATTCTTATAACCCTTCCTGATAGGAAAATGCTTTGAAACTCTCAAAATTATGGTTTGAAATCAAACATTCTATGGAAGATTGTGATGTTTAAAAGTGGGACTAGCTTGAGCCGCGCGATAGGAATGAATCACATGCTGACAAACAGTTGGGTTTAAAAACACGGCTATTTCTGTAAATCTCAATATAACTGAGTTTGATGCTTATTTAGGTTTGTTCTTTTCAATTCTCAATCAGAGGATACGCGGCCGTTCTGAGGTTCGCAATGTCTTGGACGAGATTTCGTACGTCGCCCCTATCTCAATTTTCCAAGGCATTGTCAGCACATTTTATTATTCATTTTCATTATTTTAACTAAATATATAATAATATAAATTAGAAAAATTATGATACAATATAAATTATTGACAAAACTTCAGTTTTTTTTCTGAATCTTAATGCTTCCAAATCAGATTTTTTAAAATTATTTTGGTCGTGAATTTCAGGGTGGGATAGGGGTTCGAAGAAATCTCATCTAAAGAACAAAGAAATCTTGTGCCGACCTCTTTATGAAATCTCTCTCAAATAAAATATATGATACATTATAAAGGACTGCGGCGTATGATTATAAAACAACACATAAAGTTTCACCGCATAAGTTTCTTTTCTGTGAAAAATCAATATTTATTTCAAAGAGAAATATTTACTATTTCTAACTTTTTTGGATGAAGTATGAAAGGGTGAAAATTTGAAGAGTAATGACGAACGGAAAAATAAAAGTGTCCAGGGGCGGGAATCGAACCCACAACGTTCAGCTTACCGGGCAGATGCCATGTCCACTAGGCTACCCTGGACGTATTTTTCCGTTCGTAAATAATACTTAAAGTAACTTATAATACATTATAAAGGACTGCGGCGTATGATTATAAAACAACACTTAAAGTTTCACCGCATAAGTTAAGAAAAGAAACTTATGCGGTGAAACTTTAAGTGTTGTTTTATAATCATACGCCGCAGTCCTTTATAATGTATTATAAGTTACTTCAAGTATTATTTACGAACGGAAAAATACGTCCAGGGTAGCCTAGTGGACATGGCATCTGCCCGGTAAGCGGAACGTTGTGGGTTCGATTCCCGCCCCTGGACACTTTTATTTTTCCGTTCGCCATTAGTCTTCATATTTTCACCCTTTCATACTTCATCCAAAAAAGTTAGAAATAGTAAATATTTCTCTTTGAAATAAATATTGATTTTTCACAGAAAAGAAGCTTATGCGGTGAAACTTTAAGTGTTGTTTTATAATCATACGCCGCAGTCCTTTATAATGTATTATAAGTTACTTTAAGTATTATTTACGAACGGAAAAATACGTCCAGGGTAGCCTAGTGGACATGGCATCTGCCCGGTAAGCGGAACGTTGTGGGTTCGATTCCCGCCCCTGGACACTTTTATTTTTACGTTCGCCATTACTCTTCATATTTTCACCCTTTCATACTTCATCCAAAAAAGTTAGAAATAGCAAATATATCTCTTTGAAATAAATATTGATTTTTCACAGAAAAGAAACTTATGCGGTGAAACTTTAAGTGTTGTTTTATAATCATACGCCTCAGTCCTTTATAATGTATTATAAGTTACTTTAAGTATTATTTACGAACGGAAAAATACGTCCAGGGTAGCCTAGTGGACATGGCATCTGCCCGGTAAGCGGAACGTTGTGGGTTCGATTCCCGCCCCTGGACACTTTTATTTTTCCGTTCGCCATTACTCTTCATATTTTCACCCTTTCATACTTCATCCAAAAAAGTTAGAAATAGTAAATATTTCTCTTTGAAATAAATATTGATTTTTCACAGAAAAGAAACTTATGCGGTGAAACTTTGAGTGTTGTTTTATAATCATACGCCGCAGTCCTTTATAATGTATTATAAGTTACTTTAAATATTATTTACGAACGGAAAAAATACGTCCAGGGTAGCCTAGTGGACATGGCATCTGCCCGGTAAGCGGAACGTTGTGGGTTCGATTCCCGCCCCTGGACACTTTTATTTTTCCGTTCGCCATTACTCTTCATATTTTCACCCTTTCATACTTCATCCAAAAAAGTTAGAAATAGTAAATAGTTCTCTTTGAAATAAATACTGATTTTTCACAGAAAAGAAACTTATGCGGTGAAACTTTAAGTGTTGTTTTAAAATATATGATCTTACCTTCCAGACTTGGGGATTCCACGTTGACTGTGGAGGAGCTTCTATCGTGCCAGATCTGGAACAAACAAGTTAGTGCTATCCTGAAATAATACCTTGAGGTGAATCTTACTCATTTTCGCTGGGCGTCTCAGGGCAGCAATCGGAAGGTGGGCTTACTTCTTCCTGTGAACGATATGCTCATTTTAAGCTTCATTCAACATCTGATGATCTGGTTTCATATTTTATAAGTGAATTTAACCAGCCCAGTGAGAGTTTGACTACCAAACATTTGTTAAATGAATATTTTCAAGACAAAGCTCCACTTCCTGCTGAATTTATACTTGTCAAGATAAATATATATTTAGATGGAAATTTTGACACCATCGTCTAGTTATTGTAGTAAATTTGACGAGAGAAAAGCCCTATATATTTTTAGATAAATTTCCTCCCGGTAGAATTTCCATTTATATTTTGCCATAGATTTGACCCAACCACTTTGTCAGTTAAACACATATTTGACAGATTGTGAAGATTTCATTGAATCTCGTGTGGATCTCATGGAATAAAGTCTATTTTTTTAAAGAACTATGAATGCTATCACTATAATTATTAGCCATGAGGAATTCAATATATGTATTCCTATTACTTTCATTTTGACACGTTGAAAATAAAACTTGAAGTTATATTAATAATTATATATCACAATTGAATTCTTCATGACTAAAAATTATAATAACAATATTTTGATAAAAGTATAATAAATATTTATATTTTGTATCCTATTTTTATTGAATCTTATTTTAATCACTCTAAAGTGAAATTCATTTATTACCAGTTGCAAATAACACACGCTATATCCGATCTGGATAGTTGTGCGTGAAACTATTTACAATAATTCATATTGTAGTAGAGTAGGTAACAGGATTGTCAAATTAAAAAAATAAACAATTAAAGAAGAGCTTTAAATAACGATAAACATTAAACAAATAAGCAACAACATGAGAAGATTGAAGAAACCGCAAGGTTGAATAAAGTGAAATAATTTGAAAAAATGAAATCAAAGATAATGTCCTAAAGGCTTATGTGCATAATTCAATGACTTAGATTCAATCCTTTATTGTCACATATATCGTTCAACACAGTATTATATCTCTAAAAAGCTCTAAATTTGTGGAAACTGTTGAAAAGGTTCCGTAATGATGAACCAAGCCCTTCCTCTATTTTACATCACAGTTATAATAGCTATGGTTTGTTTTTGTGTAAAATAAATAGTTGTTAGAATTCGAAACTATTATAGACGCGGATGATTCTTTTACAAATTAAATAACTTTCTACTGCCCTTACTGGAATGGAAAATTAATGGCAGGGTTTGGCTCATCAGTAATGAACCAAGCCCTTCCATTAAAATTTCATTGCAGTAAGAGCAGTAGAGTTGTTTAATTTGTGAAAGAATCATACACGTCTATAATAGTTTCGAATTCTCATAACAGATGACGCGCGACTGTATCATAACAAACAATTGTGTTTGATAGTTTCTTATATATAGAGGGCGTTGTTACCTTATAATTATTTTATTTCTTATATTTAGAGGGCGTTGTTACCTTATAATTATTTTATTTCTTATATATAGAGGGCGTTGTTACCTTATAATTATTTTATTTCTTATATATAGAGGGCGTTGTTACCTTATAATTATTTTATTTCTTATATATAGAGGGCGTTGTTACCTTATAATTATTTTATTTCTTATATATATAGGGCGTTGTTACCTTATAATTATTTTATTTCTTATATATAGAGGGCGTTGTTACCTTATAATTATTTTATTTCTTATATATAGAGGGCGTTGTTACCTTATAATTATTTTATTTCTTATATATAGAGGGCGTTGTTACCTTATAATTATTTTATTTCTTATATATAGAGGGCGTTGTTACCTTATAATTATTTTATTTCTTATATATAGAGGGCGTTGTTACCTTATAATTATTTTATTTCTTATATATAGAGGGCGTTGTTACCTTATAATTATTTTATCTCTTATATATAGAGGGCGTTGTTACCTTATAATTATTTTATTTCTTATATATAGAGGGCGTTGTTACCTTATAATTATTTTATTTCTTATATATAGAGGGCATTGTTACCTTATAATTATTTTATTTCTTATATATAGAGGGCGTTGTTACCTTATAATTATTTCTTGTTTCTTATATATAGATGGCGTTGTTACCTTATAATTATTTTATCTCTTATATATAGATGGCGTTGTTACCTTATAATTATTTTATTTCTTATATATAGAGGGCGTTGTTACCTTATAATTATTTTATTTCTTATATATAGAGGGCGTTGTTACCTTATAATTATTTTATTTCTTATATATAGAGGGCGTTGTCACCTTATAATTATTTTATTTCTTATATATAGAGGGCGTTGTTACCTTATAATTATTTTATTACTTATATATAGATGGGGCGTTGTTACCTTATAATTATTTTATTTCTTATATATAGAGGGCGTTGTTACCTTATAATTATTTTATTTCTTATATATAGAGGGCGTTGTTACCTTATAATTATTTTATTTCATATATATAGAGGGCGTTGTTACCTTATAATTATTTTATTTCTTATATATAGAGGGCGTTGTTACCTTATAATTATTTTATTTCTTATATATAGAGGGCGTTGTTACCTTATAATTATTTTATTTCTTATATATAGAGGGCGTTGTTACCTTATAATTATTTTATTTCTTATATATAGATGGCGTTGTTACCTTATAATTATTTTATTTCTTATATATAGAGGGCGTTGTTACCTTATAATTATTTTATTTCTTATATATAGAGGGCGTTGTTACCTTATAATTATTTTATTTCTTATATATAATGGCGTTGTTACCTTATAATTATTTTATTTCTTATATATAGAGGGCGTTGTTACCTTATAATTATTTGTTTTCTTATATATAGAGGGCGTTGTTACCTTATAATTATTTTATTTCTTGTTTTTATTACTTGCGCTGCATTGCTCGATGCCAATATTTATATGGGATTATATTGTCTAAAAGGCTCATCCCAGTAGTTTTCTATAAAGCATCATAATTTAGGTTCCATCATTCATTGTCGCATATATAAGTATAATCGTATTAGAGCTCAAAATGCGGTCTGGTGGATAAAATAGGCAAAATTACTAAGAGTGTTCACCACTGATGTGCGGGGCCTTCCAACTATTTTTTATATTATTATATATTTATGTAATTCTACTGTCCCAAAAGCTTATGACCATAGTTTGTCTAAATCACCTTTCTAAGATTCCATCCTTCAGTGTTGCAAATAAAAGCCGAATGATCCAATACAGTATTAGAGCTATAAGGAAGCGGTCTGGTAGATTAAATTGGCGAAACCGCTGGGAGGGTTCACCACTGATGAGCAAAGCCCTCCCAATATTTTCCCATCGCAGTAAGGTCAGTAGAAGTGTGATTTATTTGTGAATTCGCTTCTTAATGTTTTCATTTGTTATAACTATTGATTTATATCTCGGTATAGACAGTAGAAAGTTTGTTAGAATTGTAAAAGAAACATTCGTATTTAGGGGAAATGAAATATGTGGATAGCGCGTTACCTTACAATTAAATATCTTACATCTATATTTAAAATC